TGTATGTCTCTGTTGTTCTGCAGTTTCTGGTGTAGGTTTGTGCATTGTCTTATTTCTAAGTTTATGCATTGTCTTATATTGGATTAAACTCTGTAATTCTGTGACGTCAACACGCAATGTTGGTTTTATTACCAAACGCAGCTCGCCGAGTGGACCTGGGGAAGGGAAGAATCAGAAGCCAACCTTTTTCCAAAGTTAACTATGTTAGAATATTTTCTTCCTTTACAATTGCATTGGTGTTTTCTACAGAGATCAACATACTGTTAAAGTCAGCTGTTCAAATGCACCAAATATATACAGAAAGAAAAGAGGAAAGAGAAAAACTGACTTACAAAAAGGCGGAAGTTTGCAAACCTGAAAATCATCGTTACATCTCTGTACAGGAACGGTTGCATAATGATGAATGTATTTACTACAGGAGGGTCTGGTGCACTTCACAAAACAGATGGCATTTAAGGCATAAGAAAAGACTCATTTCTGTTATGTCAAATCAAAAACACAGCCCGTGTCTGTTTGATTTTATTCTTCTCACCTGTGTGTTTGTGATGTTATAAACTGCTTATCTGGGCTGAAATAGCCTAAAGACAAAAAGAAAATAATGTCTAAATAATGTCTCTGCACAAGTCAACAACACTTTATCTGAAATTGCCAAAGGCAATAGTTTGTACATTTTAGTTCTTCCTCAGGTCTAAGGAAATTAAAGAGCTACTGGGTGTTAAAAGGAAAAAAGTTATCAGGTTGTAGGTCTAAGTGAAAAGAAAGTCTTAGAAAACCAGTTTTCAGTTCGTAGGTCTTAGCAATAAACTTTTTAGGTCAGGAAAAAAACTACAATTTCTAGGATTTCAGGAAGAAACTAATCAGATCTTCGGTCTCAGGAAATTCTGCAGCTCTTCTTTTTAAACTCAGTGAAATTTTGATCAACTGGGCAGATAGTTTAGCTTAAAGTCGTAGGCAAACAGCTGTTCCAACCGTTGCATTTCAGAATTCTCCTGAGTGGTGCACGACTTTTCACGAGTGAATAAAGTGTCTTGGCGGAAGGCTTGCAAGCAAGTTTAGTTGTGACCGGTGTCTCGGAAGCATCTTGCTTACCAGTTACCAACTTAGTGCTAGTAGCTTCCCAATGGGAAATTACATTGGGACTAAGTAGCAGTAAATTGGTGACTTAGAAACAACACTGTCAAGGAACGCTGTTGACAGGGAAAACATGCAAGAGGAGGAGAGTTTTGTGTCAGAGGTCGTGGATGAGTCTCCTCGGTCATACATTTTTTATTTAGAGGAGGAAAGCGGGGACTAAGTGGAAACTTGGTTTGGTGTAGAAGGCTTGCAGCCGTACATGTTTGAGCCCTATTTTGGGTCACAGAACACATTAAATGTATTTTAATTTGTATTGGTGCCGCATTATATGGCACTTCCCGAGAGCTGACACCTAACAATTTTTTCCCGAATGCCTGAGGATGTCCTAAAATGTACACAGAAGCTCTCTTCTTTCTCTAGTATTTAAATTACAGGTTTCCTTTGTCATGGTTAATGGAACTCAAGGACTTAATGAAAAAACAAAGAAACAGAGAAATGAAAGGGAAGAATAACTGAATTATAAGGACAAGACTAAAGACAAGAAAAGGCATGGGTTTAAATAAGACACAAACTAATGAAATTGAGTGAGGATAGTTAACTAAAAACACCAACAGTTGTGAAACATATTTAGAAACTTCAAGCCTGAGTATTGCTTTGTGCTCTGTGTACTGCTGCCTCAGCAAAATGGTTGCTACAAGCCGCTGGATGTTTTGCACTCTGCACACCAATTATTCTGGTTATAATCCACATGGAATTTGAAAACTGAGGCACAAATATCCAAATTGTGCCCAGGCTTGTTTTAAGACATGCTTTGAGTTTTCAGGGCTGAAGTTTTAGCATGAAAGCATCTATCAGACTCAGAATAGAAAAAATCCATAAGCATCAGAAAAGTTGGAAAAGTTCAGAGAAGGAGACAGACGTACAGACAGACAGACATATAGACAGACAGAAAAGCATCAAGACAGACAAACAGATAGACTATGACACCTCAATATAAAAATCCTCACTAAATAAAAAAAAAAAACGGCTTTCAACATCCTATAAATAAAAGCCTTACCTCTGTTCATCTCTTCCTCCCTAGTGTTGCATGAATCAAGATTGATTTCTCAGCCAGAGGAACATAAATATTTTAAATAATGTGTGCATGATTGAATATTGTAGAGTCATGATCAGCCTGTTTTTCTCTTAATTCATCCTAAGAAAAATCACCACTGTGCTTCCTATTTGCACCAACCCTTCTGAACTGATGCACACAACAAAGCACCATATAACTTAATAATACCAATGCTAACTGTATATAGCACTTTTCTATAGGGGACTTGGCCAAAACACTTTACACTACATTCTTTCACCATTACACGCACACCAATACAAACACTGCATGCTAGATTGTAGCTACAGCTGCCCCTGGGTCAGTGACATAAGCGAGGCTTCCGTACACAGGCACCACTGGGCCCTCTGACCACCATCTGTATGCAAAGCGGATGAAGCATCTTGCGCAACGACACAGCACCGAAAGCCAGAACCAGGGCTTGAAACTACAACCCTTCTGCTGCAGGGCAAACTCCTGTATCTGATGCCACAGAGGGGTGACAGGGGTAAACATACGAGTTTAGCGCTGCAAATCAATTTTTTACCTCCTGTAATTTCTTTTTTTATTATTAATCAGATCCCACACTTCAAATGAACTGGTTATTTGCATTAAATTGTCTCTCAGAAGGCAAAGCTGAGCATCATGTTTAATATACAGGTTTTGAGTTGAGGTTTATTGATGAATATGATGATAGAAATACTTGTTGGAACAAACTGGAAGACTTTTTGTGTCACGAAGATTTCTTCCCTGTTTTCAAGAGAAACTCAGAAACTACAAGTTCTTCTATTTTATTCTTATGAAAACTGTACCTGGAAAGGACTCACTCTGCAAGCGGTAGATCTATAGAAAATGTTTTGTTTTGCTGATGGCTTCACTATCAGGGAAGATAAAAGTCTAACTTGAAATTTTAAAGAAACAGTGAAAGATGAATCTTATGTAATTTTTTGTGAAATCATGCCTACCTCATCATCACTTCTTGTGTTCTATGATTCATGCACTTAGTCAACGGTGTAGAAGGAAGTATAAGACTTCTGTGGAAAACTTGCATTAAAGGAACTGCATAAAAACATATTAAGATAACTTATTTTCCTTGAACTATCAAAGTGCTGGTTTATAGTATGTATTTCACGTTGTTTTCTTATTTTATTGATCTTTTTTAAGTCCAGACTAAGATAACAAAAGGTGACTTATTTAAACAGTGGTAGTTTTTCTTAAATTCAATGATATTCTTATTATGTGATCTAATTGCAATTCTGCAATTTTTGCTGAAATTAATAAGGATGCTTTTAAAATCCTATTGGGACTTATGAGAAAGACAAAAAACAAAAGCTTAATTAAAAAAAATTACTACAGACTTAGACAACCAGGTTAATAAAAATTTTATTAATGAAATTTGATGTAATATTTACCAGAGGTGATAAATTGCTGTTTGCGTCGGAATCGGCTGTTATTGATCCTTTTTTTAAATATACATTAATGTCTATCTATAAATATAAATGTCAATGTATTTTGGGTCTTTTGTTTTCTCAATAATAGTAAAGCAATTAATTCAACTCATATTTGTTTGAGCTAATTTTTGGAAAATACAAACCCTTTTGAAAGCATTTGTGTGGAGTAACTGTAGGTTCATCGCCCCCACCCTAAGAGTGTCCCCACCAACTTTCATCAGAAAGTTACACCCTTGCATCCAATTACCCTAGTTTTCGATAAATGTGGATGCCACCAATGATCTGCATTGGATGGCAAACATGACGTGAAATAAACATCTATAAACATTAAACCGACGCCAAGACTATCGAGTAATGTTTGTTTTAAAAATGTAAGGAATATAAATCACAGATACTTGTGTGAAAATTTCTTATTGCTTCTATATGTAGTAATTGCAGTATTTTTTGTTCGAAGAATTTTTCTGCTGCATTTCTTTATGTGGCTTTGCTCTTTTCTATGCATTTTAGAAGCTATTTCTACCTGAAAACACATTTCTGATATAGATAAAGAATAGTTCCAGCGGTAACATTTATGAATGCAAGCTTCTGGTACCTGTGTAAGGGTAAAACATTTTCCAGTGTAATTACTTCTTGAACTGTTCCTATATCTGATTTATTTGTAAATGGTTAATAGCCCACACTTGTATAGTGCTTTATTAAGTTCATGAATCCTAATATGCTTTACACTTCATTCAGCCATCCTTACATTCATACACAAACCACACACTAATGGAGGAATTCAATTCAATTTAATTTATTTACGGAACGCCAATTTATAACAAATGTAATCTCAAGGCCATTTATGGATACAATTTGATCAAATCATACAGATCAAAGAAATAAAATATGATCGATAAAAGGAAATTTAGGTAATCTGGACAAATAAAAGTGCTAACATTAATTGTTGGACTCCTTTTAGATATGATCTGGCCTTTGCTGATGACATATACTTAATGTTTTATGACTGGAATTACAACTGGAGCTTTAATATTGATTCTGAGGATACTCCTCTGAGAGACTGCTATGAGAAGATGCTTTTTATTGTTTTACATTACATATACTGTGATGGATTTGAGTAGAAATATGGGCGTCTTATGTAGTTATTTTCACTCTAAAGGACCAAAAATAGTTATGTTGACCTTAAAATGTATACATCTGTGGAAAACTAATTGGGAGAACTGTTTTGTAATCATGAAAGCCTTGTGTTGAACGCAGATTAGAACTAAAAATCAATGCATTAAATGCATTATGTAGTTTAAGGGCTGAATGTGAACATCTGCCTCAACAGGGCCCACCTTTAGGATAGTCAGGCTTTATAACATTAAACCTAAACTTTCATATTAATGATGCCACCTTTGTTCCTTTCTTATCTTATCTTACTAATCTTTAATTAATCTGTGTACTTATTTAATCGTTATTTAAGCACCTTGATTACAAGCATAGGTTTGAATTAGCCTCTCTTCTAATTACTGGAAACTAATTCTTCTATATTTTTCTTTCTTTTCAAACAAACATTTCATATCATTGGTTTTGCATCTGTAGCAGCTAAAATCCTATATTCTAGGCTACTGGTTATTATTCCTAAAAGGCTTTGTTTTTACTGTGCTCAATAAAGATTATAATGCCAATCTTTAGTTTGACCTAAAATAAAATCATTTCATAGAAGAACAATGGCTATAGTTGTATTACTTGCCCTTTACATCAATATATAAATTTGACAATGATCGAAACCGAACACAGTAGAAAATTGCCTCCTCTCATTAACAACAGCTGACCAGAATCATGGTTGACCTTAAATAATCCCATCCCCCATCAAACAATTGGAAATTCAAAATGAAGTACGTCCCCTGGTGGCAATAAATTAAGGACAAACGGCTCCTACACCATCTTTAAAAATATAATCACATAGATTTGTTTATCCAATATGATACGCAAGCTTGTTTATCATTAAACATTTCTACCATTAAAATAGGAAAACAAGACAACCTAGATCTATCATCAACTAATCCATGTCACTAAGCTCTGAGTGCTATCTAGTTGGATTTCTAGGAATATTGGGCCATGGGGTGATCGATCCAGGGAGGCAGTCTGGACAGTTTCTCTTCAGTGGCTGGTTTGATGGGCCATCCCCAGGCTTTGAAGAATCCAGTCAGGTTCATCTCTGTGGCTTTGGAGAAAGTCTCGGCGTAGAGGTTCATCTTTTCTTCGTTGTCTTCAGGAAAGTTCCTCATGTCATGATAGCGAGCAAACACTTTCTTAAAGACAGCCCAGCCAAACCTTTCCTGGAGCTACAAGAAGTAAAGAGTTAAGATTATGCAGATGTTTTTTTTTTGTTTTGATGAGCAATGAGCCACACAGATAGCTGATTTAATACAATTACTAATTTACCTAGTGAGTAAAATAATTTTGACTATAACATTTTTATCAGAATGTGATTTATTGTTTGTGTTCTAACCTGCAGGTATGTCTCCAGAGCAGTCCAAACCTCCCAGTTGCTGAGCTTCCTGCCCTCTTTAACGTACTTCTCCACACGTTTCTTCCGACTCTGTGAGGTCATCTCGGGATGAGCCTGTCGATTGCAGATATGAATTATAATATATAACATTCACTGGAGGTTAAAAAGACCTAATTTCACAACATGTTTGAATTCTGTAACATTGTTGGTATTCAGTTAATGATTGTTAATTATTATGATTAAATGCTAGTGACTAATTTCTCTGGTGTATTTTAAATATCTGTTAGTTTGAGTGATAAATTATTAATAGTGTTTGATTATATATTTTTATAAATATCCATAACTAAATAAATTAAACATCAATATAATTTTTGATAAAGGTAAAAAGGTCTCCAAGTTTGAGTTATTATTTCTGCAAATGGCATAAAATAATGGCAAATGGAAGTACACAGAAAAAATAATGCAACCGTTTTTAGTATTTATTTAATCATATTTAGTTAATTTAACACAATTGTTTTATGCCCTACCCTGCTAACATGAAACAATTGTGTTCTAAATATATAATATGCCAAAAATGGCTTATCTTTTTCAGTGTAGGACGACAGTTAGGAGTAAAGGGGAGCTTGTTTCTTTTTTTGTTAGTTCATCCTTGTGTAATAGTAGTAGTAGTAATAATGTGATTAAGAGACTGAACTGGACTTGAGAAAACAAAGCATCTGTGGTCTGGTGTCTGTTAAGAAAGAGAAAGTAACCTTTGCTCTGTTGAGTCCCAACACCTCCTCGTGCACGTAAACTGACCAAAGGTTACATGTGGCTTCTGTAGTGTGGGGACTAAACTCCCAGCAGGTTCTCTGTTGATTGTGTCCCAGTTCATGAACTTCTCCCCACAGACCTTTGGTTCTTGCATCCTCTGGGTTAAACAGCTCACCTCCTATTGAAGAGTGCATCATCATGGGATAGCCTGAATGCATCCACCCTGCAAAGAAGCAGTAAAATCTGAGTTTAAATGTCAAAATCAAATATCAAAATTATTTTCCACTCTTCAGCCAGCTGATTTACTCACAGCCACAATACTGCTCCTCCACTAAATAAATGTTTTTATAAATCATGGATGAAATACTTTTGGGTCATCAGAGAAGGGTAACAGTTTAGAAAAGAAGTATTTGCAAAAAGTATTAAAGCTAGATTTCAGCAGGATGATGTACATGTTTTACTGAAACTGTGTTCAATTATCCTTTTTGTTGCATTTTTACCATTTGATTATAGGGTTTATATCTACATTTTTTATTTTAAGCTCATAAGCCTAAATTATAACAAACTCATCTGTCCTAAATATGCTATTGCATCAAATGGGGTTAGTTTTGTTTGTTGATGTATTTTTAATACCTCCGCCAAGTGGTTATGTTTTTAGGAGAATTTCTGTATGTTTGTTTGTCCTTCTGTTTACAGGATATGTCATGATCTCAGGGCTGATTACTGGCTCAATTGCTCATTTTATTCACCTGTATAACTCTGCCCTGTTTCTCGTCACTCCTCATCTGACCACCTGCTCCTGCTTCTATTTAAACTGCTTGATCTTGCCTATCAGTGCCAGATTATTCTTGAGTCCTAGGTGAGTGTTTTTATTGCGTTACCTATAGTGTTCTAGTGTACCTGATCCTGACCCGTTTCTGTCTTTGGACCTTTGAGTCTGCCTGCCCCTGTTCTGATCTGTTTGCCTGACCTGTCTTCAGATTCTGGATCTGCCTCTTGACTTTGCCCTCTGGATTATCCTGCCTTCCTCCGTCATCTGCTCGGAACTGATCTCCTGTCAGTCCTGCTTCCTTCAAGGCTTCGCCATCTGGAACTCTGTGCGACAAGCGTTGTGTCTTTTCAGCTGACCGGCTGCTATCAACCTTGTTCTCTGGGAAAGGTCTGAACCCTGCCTCAGATGCCCTAGCTGCTGCTAAACCGTCCATTGTTGCTTTAATAAACGTTTTTTAAGTTATTCCACTCTCTGTCTTGCCTGAATACTGGATCCCTCTGTTCTCACTCATTATAGGATAACTTGAAAAGTTCTGAACGGTTTTTATTGACATTTTTATAAAGGTGCACCTCAGTCAAAAAAGCAATCCATTGAATATTGCTGATGATAACCATTATCTGCTATCAGATTTTTTTTTTAGGATTAATTTACATTATTTGGCTGAACAAGCAGTTTGCTCCTAAGCCAGAGAGTGGAAGCAGTGACTATTGACAGCTTCAGCATCTGACTCAACAAAGAAAATAGTCCAGAAGTATTATACTGAAGACAAAAACACAGTAAACATGAGAAATGCTTTGCTCGAAGTCTCAATCCACTGATCAAACAAGCAAAGTGAATGAAGAAGGTGGGAGCAGAACAAACACCAGAGGCTGCAGACACAAGCTGTGACTTATTTATAAACTTATGAAACGAGTTTAAGGAAATTGTTACCAAAGGTGCCCCTCATACAAAGGAACAATTCATAAAACTTTGGTAATGACCACGTGTGAGATTTAACTACAGGTGTAAGTCACAATGTGGGGCAATATTCACTGCTTGGTGGAGGTCTGTGCTCTGCGAGTGCTTTCCTTACTAGTTTTAAATGCATCAGTTTCTCAGATGGACATGTTTTCCTGTCTCTTCACAAAAATGCAGGTATTAAAGTAATAAAATAAGGATTACCCAGGTTGAGATTTTCTTGGTCAAACTTCCTGTTGTCTGGCAGAATATGAAACTGACTTCATCCATGTTGTTTTGTTTTTTAATCCTTTTCTTATATAAAAAGTTATGTTATAACCAAAGCTTTTGGTTTGAGTTTTAATGTTTTTGATTGAGCAAATTTTAAAATAATGGTCAGAGAATTCCCCAAATCCTACATTTTAATCAAAGAAAGCCCTCTTACCAGCTGAAATCTGCACATCAGCCACAATGCGTTCCTTGCGTATGAATTTCTGTGGAATGACAGCCAGGTCTGCAACACCCTTCATGATGCCATTCCAGAGTTTTTCCACCTTCATCGGATTCTCCACGTGACGAATGATGTGCGACGGCACAGTGAGGATGATGTTTTCAAACTCCATCTCTGCCCAGGGTGCCGGAGCTTGGCGCAGAGAGGACCAATCAGCTGCTGTTGTTACCCCTAAGTTAATCAAAGGGTGGATAGTATGATGAAAATATCTACAGAATATTACTAATAAATGTAAGTAACAAAAAGTTGGAAAAGTTTGCAAATAGAACAAAAAAAAACCTTTATTTTCCTACATCAGGAAAAATTTGGTTTAAAAGTGACAAAAAGAATTGCATACAAGATTTACACCAATGACAGTATAATATAAAAAACAACATTTCAAAGGTTAAGGTGTAAGTTAAGGTGAAATTCCACACTAGCAACATTTACATGGACACAATCGGATTGAAGGCCGGATCAGATTACATATGTTTTGTTGGGATCTCGAGGTCTGTCCACTTTCTCCACCAGAGGGCGTACTAGATCTCCTGGAGCCGGAGCTGATTGCATCACCTGTCGCTCGTCTGTTCATCAGGAGATCAGTATTTAAGGAGGCAGAGGACGTCTCTCCAGTGCCAGAGTGTTTGCCAGTTACGGTTAGCAAGCCTGAGCCAACCTGCCTGTCTGAATCTCTGACTCCCTGAAAACCTGAACCTGATCTGTTTTCTCCTTTCTGCTTCCCAGATTGAACCTGCCTGAAACCAGAAACCCTGAAGAGTATCTCTGTTGGAAATCTGCCAGTCTGATCTCTGAAGAACCCTGGAGAAAATTCCTGTCAAAAACCTGCCTGCCCGCTCTCTGAAGAATCTGGAAGGGAAACTCAAATCTGTGATCTGCAAATACTCAAACCAAGCTCTGCCTCCGCCAAGCCCTCAGCCTGCCGACAGCCTCTGGACCCTCTAGGTTCTCCCCCTCTGCCGCTCAGCTCAAACTCTTGAACAGGTACTGTCCTGCTCACTCACATCCTGCAAATTATCTGGACATCCACTAACTCCTCTGTCCCCCTCTGCAGTGAACCCACTCGTGACCAGTCCTGGATCTGATTAACCCCTGGATCTGTTTATTCTTTGTGCAGAATTATTTCAATAAACCTTTGAACTTTTCTTCAGCCTCAGTGTGTTCTGCATGTGGGTTAGGAACCTTAAGCCAAACATGACATGTTTAATGTAAAAATGTTAGACTGAGTATTCTAATCCGATTCCACTTGAAATAATTTTATTCCGATATTGAGAGATTTTTTGTCCAAGTCATTCTGAGTGAGGTCCATGCACACACCCATTCTGTATCATTTGGGTGCAATTATCTCCATTACACACGTTTACAACACCAGCATGAGCGTTCTTTACTCCTACTACTGGCAGCATTGGAAAAGAGGTAAAAGCCTTTAAATGTCAAAATAATTTATGAAAATTTTTATATACATATGCTGAGACTAAAGATAACTGAAAACAAACTTTTGCTTGTGTATCATCCTCTGGGGAAAAGTAATAGCCCAGGTGGAAAAAAAATATTTTAAACATGTTGCCATATGCTCTCTGCAAGAGATCATTAATGTGAAAACGTAGAACTGGAAATTATGAACAGAATGCATGACATATAAAAACATAATCAACAAGTTTTAGATTTAGCCTTCAGAGCCCTCATGATCCTACAGAGGAAAGTTAGCTATTGCAATGTAGATGTTGCTAAATTTGATTAAATCCTGTACAACAGTGAGTAGAGCTTTTGTTTTCTACTTTTATCAATAATAAACAGGATCATTTGTCACTGGACTGAAGTAAAAAGTGGGCACACAGTGTTTTTAAATTCAAACCATTATATAGATATAGATGTTTTCAAGACCAACGATGGAGTCAAGAACGGTTTTTCTGAGACCAAGACCAAAACCAGACTTCCCCAGACCAAGACCTGAGGCCAAAAGTGTAGAATTTCAAGAAAAAACTCAGGACATCAGTTTTTTAACATCACAAAATGCAAAAATGTATGGAACAATGAATAACTAACCTACCAAAATCACTTACTGCAATTAAACTAGTTATTGTCCCAATAAACGGATATGAATAATTAATATAAATGCAGCCATGCATATGAAACTGCAAAGTGAAGCAGTGTTTTTGATTCCCGGCCTGGCCTTTTCTGCATGGAGTTTGCATGTTTTCCCTGTGCATGCGTGGATTCTCTCCGGGTACTCTGGATTCCTCCCACAGTCCAAAAACATGACTGTTAGGTTCAGTGGCTTCTCTAAATTCTCCTTTGGTTTCAGTGTGTGTGTGCTTGGTTGTTTGTCCTGTTTGACTCTGTGTTGCCCTGTGACAGACAGGGCAACACAGTTCTGACTTAGAACCAGCTATAAAAGTCCAAACATGTTTATTTATTTTAAATTTTTTTACAACACTTTACTTAATTTAAACTGCAAAAAAAAAATAAAAAAACATTTGTCCATTTTTGCCAACTGTACTGATGCTGTTGAACTTTGGCTTAGTCCACATGTAACAGTGTCTTGAAAAAACTGAATATCTCCCTTACGCTGTTTTTAGATATAAATACCCATTACTAATTTCTCAGGAAAGAATTTCATCCACACCAATCCTCAGAAATCTCTTCAATGGAACATTAGCTGATAGAACACACTCACCAGACTTGTAATAGGGAGCAGAAACAGCCTGCTGAACCATGATTTCCTCCTTATCCACCTTTACATCACGTGGAGCCAGCAGGTAGATGAGTCCTCCCCACAGGTTCCACACCTGCATCCTTTCAGCTGTAACAGGGAACCTCTTGATGACACATGGCGCTCTCCATAACTCCTCCTGCTTCAGTACATCGCTTTGGCATCCAATCTGGATCTTTAGATGAAACATACCAAATGTCTATGGATTCAAAACCTGCATAAGGTGCAGCTGTATTTTACTGCCTGGCTTGGTGAATTGTAATATTATTTCATTTGGATCATGTGTGATATAGCAGAATGATTAGAGGATAGAATAAAGAGAGTAAAGGTTTGATTTTAAGCACAGTACCACCCATCCCCTCCGGACAAGCTTGGTCGACAATGTAACCTCTGTCTTCATACCAGGAGGGAGGTACAGGCCTGTACTGATCCACTCCTCGTTTTCTGTCACACAAAAATTCCTATTTCATATCTTCCTTGAGTTAAAGAATAACAATGAGACAATGAAAGAAAAATGATCTGACCTCCTGTCTGGGCAGTGATCTTGATCAGTTGACCCTTAACCACAGGAAGTGGTGGGTTATCCTTGATGATGTAGGGTAGAAGCTCTTCCTGGTTTGTCGAAGCTTCATACACATGTGTTACCAGCATGAGGAGCATGCGATCTTTAGGATGCTTCACAGGGTTCTGCTTACTCGGCTTAAAATATAGTTCACATTGTAGGTTGAGATTAATCTTCCTCAAAACACTGAATTCTATAAATATTTTATTCACGAGAGACTTGTTCTATATTTGAAGAGAGCTGCATTTATAGGTATCAGCCAAAGTAATGTGTTGGGGAAGGGGTTTATCTGGTGGACTAAAGAGGAAGAAGAAACTGCTGCAGTAATTTGAACTTGAATTGTGGCAATGCTGTTTATTTCCCAAAGCCCCGTGTGCAAAGTACTATACTGTAGTTTTATTTAAAAGACCAATATGAAGTGGCATATCATTGTAAAGTTGAAGGTAAAGGTGGTTAGGATATTTTTTTTTTATAAATAAAAATCTAAAAAGTGTGGTGTGCCCTTGTATTTGTCCTTCCTCTATCATTTGTATCCCTTAAAGAAATGCAACATGCCACATAAAATAATTCAGTCCAACAGCCTTTTTCAACAAAGCTGGTCAATGAAGCAGCACAAAGCCTTGCAGCTCTTAATCGATAGGAATGATGTTTCCTAATTTATGGAAAATGAGGCTGAAAACAGATATACACTGCACATTTAATACTCAAAAGAATATCATATATTTCTATATATATATACAGGTGCTGGTCATAAAATTAGAATATCATGAAAAAGTAGATTGATTTCAGTAATTCCATTTAAAAAGTGAAACTTGTATATTATATTCATACATTACATACAAACTCATATATTTCAGATGTTTATTTTGTTTAATTTTGATGATTACAAATGACAACAAATGAAAATCTCAAATTCATCATATCAGAAAATTAGAATATTGTGAAAAGGTTCAAAATTGATGGCCCCTGGTGCCACACTCTAATCAGCTAATTAACTCAAACCACCTGCAAAAGCCTTTAAATGGTCTTTCAGTCTAGTTCTATAGGCTACACAATCATGGGGAAGACTGCTGACTTGACAGTTGTCCAAAAGACGACCATCGACACCTTGCACAAGGAGGGCAAGACACAAAAGGTCATCGCTAAAGAGGCTGGCTGTTCACAGAGCTCAGTGTCCAAGCACATTAATAGAGAGGCGAAGGGAAGGAAAAGATGTGGTCGAAAAAAGTGTACAAGCAAGAGAGATAACCGCACCCTGGAGAGGATTGTGAAACAAAACCCCTTCAAAAATGTGGGGGAGATTCACAAAGAGTGGACTGCAGCTGGAGTGAGTGCTTCAAGAACCACCACACACAGACGTATGAAAGACATGGGTTTCTGCTGTCGCATTCCTTGTGTCAAGCCACTCTTGAACCACAGACAGCGTCAGAAGCGTCTTGCCTGGGCTAAAGAGAAACAGGACTGGACTGCTGGTGAGTGGTCCAAAGTCATGTTCTCTGATGAAAGTAAATTTTGCATTTCCTTTGGAAATCAAGGTCCCAGAGTCTGGAGGAAAAGAAGAGAGGCACTTCATCCACGTTGCTTGAAGTCCAGTGTAAAGTTTCCACAGTCAGTGATGGTTTGGGGTGCCATGTCATCTGCTGGTGTTGGTCCATTGTGTTTTCTGAGGTCCAGGGTCAACGCAGCCACATACCAGGAAGTTTTAGAGCACTTCATGCTTCCTGCAGCTGACCAACTTTTTGGAGATGCAGATTTCATTTTCCAACAGGACTTGGCACCTGCACACAGTGCCAAAGCTACCAGTACCTGGTTGAAGGACCATGGTATCCCTGTTCTTAATTGGCCAGCAAACTCTCCTGACCTTAACCCCATAGAAAATCTATGGGGTATTGTGAAGAAGAAGATGCAATACACCAGACCCAACAATTCAGAAGAGCTAAAAGCCACTATTAGAGCAACCTGGGCTATCATAACACCTGAGCAGTGCCACAGACTGATCGACTCCATGCCACGCCGCATTGCTGCAGTAATACAGGCCAAAGGAGGCCCAACTAAATACTGAGTGCTGTACATGCTCATACTTTTCATGTTCATACTTTTCAGTTGGCCAACATTTCTATAAATCCTTTGTTTTTATTGGTCTTCAGTAATATTCTAATTTTCTGATATGATGATTTTCATTTGTTGTCATTTGTAATCATCAAAATTAAACAAAATAAACATCTGAAATATATGAGTTTGTATGTAATGTATGAATATAATATACAAGTTTCACTTTTTAAATGGAATTACTGAAATCAATCTACTTTTTCATGATATTCTAATTTTATGACCAGCACCTGTATATATATATATATGAGTGTGTGTGTGTGTGTGTGTGTGTATATACGTTGCAATTTAGGAGATAGTCTAGTGACTTCATATATTAAAGAAATTTTGAGTAGCGCACCTGTGGGATCCCCCTTTTCTTCAAGATGTGAGTCAAAATGGAAAGAATCTCTATGTAGGAGAAGCAGTCATGAGCCTGCATCTTCAACAATGATGCAAAATCTTCTAGCTTTTTATGGTGATCGTCATTTTTCCTGGGGAGTTCTTTGTCCTCTAGAACATGACCAGCAAAGCTGTTCACAAGATTACGGATGTGGAATTTTTGGACCTGGCTTGGATCAGGAGCTTTGTAGACACCTGCTCTTGTATGTTCTTTGAGCAAGCTCAATCCCATATTGTTTAGGATCTTGTTGCCTGGAAACAAGGAATTAAGTTATACCTCAACTTTCTTTATCTAACCGATGTATTCAGTCATAATCTTGAATTTTTCTTGAACCTCGATCTTGCTGTCTGTTTTCTACATGGTTTCTGCTTACATTCATCACTGCCTGTTTGTATTTAATTAAAAGACCAACATATATATATATATATATATATATATATATATATATATATATATATATATATATATATATATATATATATATATATATATATATATATATATATATATATATATATAAAAGCAGAAGAAAAAAAACCCTACATACTAGTATGAAAATATTATTCTAAGACTTCAGGACACTGGAGAACAAAAGTCAGAGCCACCATTTACAACTGGTGTGTTAGGAATCCAGTTTGTGTGGGTTGTTTGTGTGTTTTTTTCTCCCTCCACCACCAGGTGGTGCCCTGTCGTCGTTGGCCCTCCTGCACACCTGGGACTCGTTGGTTTATTACTGAAGAGTATTTGAGCAGTGGACTGTCACTACCTCGAGGCCAGAGTGTTTGTCAGTTTTGGGTACTCTAGCCAAGGTTAGTTTAGCTGAGTCTTTGTTTCTCTGAGTCTAACATTGTTTTTTGTCTTTGCCTTTCAGCAGGAAGCCTTCCTGTGTAACTGGATGCCTGGCCCTCTCCCCCTGGAAGGATTAACTGAGTTCACACTGAGCAGGGGAAAACATCCACACGAGCCGTTCAAGTCGCTTTTGGAAATCCAAGTGAGAGTCTGCTCCATTGCTCCTCAGGGTCCAGCGAATGTCTACCTGTCCGCTCTCTGAGTTCCCTCTTCTCTGGATAAACCCACACCTACTGGATCCAAGGATAAACAAGAACCCCCTTAAACGTGAGTCCCGCTCCCACAGTACCAAAGACTCTGTCAATTTTCCGACCGTCTCTGGACTGATCACTGTGATCTCCTGTTTAGACTTTCCAGTTCCGGTTTACCAGTTCTCTGAGTTCCAGATCCAACTCCTGTACTGTTTCCTCAATAAACCTGTTAAACCTTTCCCCTGGTTCCCTGAGTGGTTCTCTGCATGTGGGTCATATCTCTTAAATTGATCATGACATCAAGTAAACATTGAGCAGTGGTGACCCTGCCTAGGAGAGGATGGCTGGTTAAACAACAAAAAAAGCACTGCAGACCTCAATTAAAATCAGAATCTCGATTGGGTAAAATGGTCTTAGAGGGAAGGTTCCAAGGCCTAAACCACTGCCGACCAAAAAATATCACAGAGACCCATCTCCCTTGCCAAACATAATCTTGATGAATTCCAATACTTAAGGAAAAATATTCAGTTGAATAATTGAACAAAAGTTGATTTCTTTACTGACTGTAAAACATGACTTTGGTAGCCTGAGGATTTCCTGTCACTTTTTCCTCAATGGGTCACACATCTTAATGATGGGATGATGACTTTTGCTCCCTACCAGGACTAAAAGCTCATCATACATTGTTTATGGCCAAAATCCCAAAGCATTTAAGTATATAACAAAGTACATAACAAGGACACCTGAATTACTCAAGCTTGTAAACACTCCTTTTTTCACCATATGGAAACCATATGGAAACCATATGGTCAAAGGGAAACACCTCCAAAGATGGTAGAGAATGACCTAGCCAAGATCCTGTGGGACTTCCAGATACAGACAGACCGAATGGCTTTTTTTTATGCCGTGTATTTCCGTTTCAATGTCAATCCAATAGCCTTATACGTTATATAAGAGTAATTATAGTTTTATACCTGAGAAGTCTTGCATTGGGTTTTGACCGATGTGTGTTGATGCCCAGTACCAGGCATGTCCACCAATCACCAGGCCTCCTCCTTCCACCACAAAGTTTTGGATCATCTTTGCATCAGTGTCAGTGTATGCTGTGCACACAAACACACTCAGCTCCTGGTTTAACTGTGTAGTTTTACATGTCAACCCTAAGTAGGGCAACGGTTTAATGCCTGATTGAAATCCAGCAACTCCTCTTCTGCCTTGGTCCAACCAATTAAAAGCATTCTTCCAAAATGATGCCAGTGTCTGTTAGAAAAAACAGGATAGTTTAAGCATTGTCATTTTAAACTATCCATTCTACTACAAAACAGGGTTAAATAAGTGGCAACCAGCCTTTCCTTTTTTTCTGAAAATATTTCGACACATTTCCAGGCGTCTTAAAAATGTCTGTGCTGGAGCAACCTGTAGATGGAGTTGCTGATGTTTTTAATCACCTGGAGGCCCATCCCCCTAAAAACATTCCGTCCCTCCTGAGTTTTTCACAAACGTTTTGTCACAAATGGAAATGCAATGTTTGGCATAGCTCTACTTTCTCCTCTGCGTTAGATTCTGTGTTTTTCTTCCTGATATGTTTTTCATCTGACCATAACAAACACCCAGTTTGGCTTCCTGACATGTTTGTGGTATTTTTGCTTCTCCCTAACAACTGAGGAATTATTGTCATTCCGATAACAGAAGATTTGTATTCCATCAGAAAAAAGCAAAAGAAAGTCTGGTTGCCTCCTATTAAAGCATTTTGTGGTTACATGAACCGGATAATTGAAAATTTGCGCAGGCCTATACATTGTACTGTTAACCCATGGCTTATAATCCATTAAACATATTCTATCCTCTAAGTCTCAAACCTTGTCCTTAATTATGACTGTCCTGCAAGTTTTAGGTGTGTCCTTGCTACCATACATGAAGAAATGATTAACAGATTTCTGCAGCACTTAATGGCTGCCTCATGCAATAATTTAAGACAGGTTTCTCTGCAAGAGAGGCATCTAAAACAATCAGAGCCGTGGTACTTGTGGACCAGGTTTTAGAACCACTGCTCTAAGTGAAACGAGGCAACATTTTTATGTTACTTTACGACACCTCATACTGCAGAAATGCCTCATGAGTGACCAGAATGACACGTCCCTGTCCATAGTATGACCCTGCCAGAAAGGTCTCTCCATTGTCTGTCGTACAGATGGAAAAAGAGAGAGGACCATGGACCAGAGCTAAAGAGGGAACTCCATCTCCCTGGAGGTCAAAATCTGAAACCCCTTGTAGCAGAAACTCCAGGTCTCCTTTAAAATCCATCATATTTCTGTTTGGAAACAACAAAGAGACATGACATAGAGCTGTAATAATGAATCAAGGAGGAAAAATAGATTCGAAATAAAAAGACCAATGTTAAAGTTCGCCACTAGCATCAGAAAATGTAACTATTAATGGATGATCCAATGTAAAGAAGAAAATAAGAAATGTTCAATCAAACTAAAGTTAAAACTTACCGTACAGCTCTCCAGGATGTTGGGACCTCATGGTAAACTGGTATCTTTTCTGCTTTTCCATACTGAGCAGAAAAGTAGATTCCTGCCACTGCTGTTACTTTATTCCCTGGAAACTCAAGGACAAGATTTTCTTTGGGGTTCTGAGAGGACCACCACCAAGCTTGTCCACCAATCAAAATCCCTCCTCCTGCTTTCATGAAGGCTACCAGGTCTCCTGCTTTTGTGCCCACTTCATAGGCATCTGTTATGTACACATCGACTCCAAGATCTTTACTAAATTCCTCAACAAGACTGACTTTGTACCTGGAACTGCTGAGGTTATCAGCAACAGCCTTCCTTTTTTTCTGCACCCCGAAAGACAAGTTTGTAGACTTCTTTCCTCCCAGCCAGGTCAGAGAATTTTCTACCAGAGCAGGACAGAGAGTCAGGTAGGTCTCATGGCTCAGGACCACAATTCTTCCCCTGCCATACACAGAGGCAGCCATGAGGATGTGACCATGGCTGTTTATCACTAAAGGAAAGGCATCTCCTGTCAGCACCAGGTTACAAGGAACACTGGAGTGCTGAAGGTCCAACTCCTGGATGCCTTTGAGCAGAGCCTTGTAGGCATCCTGATTATAAGACTGAGCTGGTTGGGTGGACATGATGGAATTAATTATTGCTCAACAGTTGGGATGAAAGAGGTCGTGGATTCAAGACAACTGTCCTGGAGAGATGTTGACGTAGCTTCTTTCTGCAATGAAGACAAAATGTTGGGGTTTAAAATAGCACATTAAAAAATGTTTTCTTAGGATAACAACCTTTTATTGTGGAGCACAAATAGAAGAATAGATGACTGACCTGATCGCTGCCATAATTGTTAATTTCCCTCACCTGCCTAACTCTACCAGGTTTCTAATCATCACTCATCTTATCCGCCTGTGTCTGCTGCTTTATATTCATGTCAGCCCAGCTATCAGGGCCAGATCGTTGTATGATGTATGTTTGAATTTGTTTGTGTTTGACTTTGATGCCTTAGTTAAAGTTTTCGTTCAAGGAGGCCAGTGGTTACAGAGGATTGTTAGTCTCGTTTTGGTTTGTCCTGGCTCTTCCCCGCTTAGCGTGACCTTCTCCTGTTTCGGCTCGGCAGGGGGGAGCTAGTTTAATGATCCGCAGTTTTCCTTGTTTCCTCTCATGTTTCAGCCTCTTAACTGCTGAGCCTTCCTGTTTCCACTCAGCATTTCTGCCTGAGCTCTCTGTTGGACTCATGGAACCCTGAACCTGCCTGAATGTTCTGTGGATTCCTGGAGCCCTGGATCTGTCTGTTCCTGTTCTGGTCGGAGTGACCGGGACAGGGTAATGGACTCCTGGATCTCAGAGCCGTCCTTGTTCTGTGCTGTTTCCCTGACCTGATTTGGACTTCTGCCTGTTCATCGGGGCTGCTGAATCGGGGACACTCTGGGCGGCTCTGCGCCGCATTTCGTTGCCGGTCCATTGGCTGGATCCTGCCTCACTCTTAGGAGCTGAACTGAACTGTTAAACCAGGTAAGTTACTCACTTAGATAATTATCTTCTCTCAGATTATTGTGGTCACTTACCTGTGTTTCTCCCCAATCAGAGTGCCAGTAATGGGTGTTGCCCGCCTCCCCCCCGTTTCAACATTTTAAAACTACCCACTGCCTGTCTTGCCTGAATACTGGGTCCATCTACCCATGACAGTGACAAAGACAATAGACAAATGGAAATAGGGAAAAGAGATGTGTGCCACTAGAATGGCAGCCACAGATAAACTGGAAAAGAGATGGTAGGAGAAGCACCGTTACAATCTGGGTATTGGGGTGAAGATGAGAGCACAGTACAGATGATCAGCAGTGAAGAGGTGGGAGTACAGGGTGCGGACGATACAAGGCAATCTGGGGAAGAACTTAGACCTTATGAGGACTGAGGAGAAATGGTGACATCACCAAAAGGACTGCTTTCCAACAGCCATCGTTGGTTTGAGTTGGTTTTTTTTTTACAAAAGGGTCTGAACCACCTAACAAAACAGATGCCATTTCACATGAAGAAAATAATCCTTGATGAGTGAGCGGTTGTTTTCTTATGTCAAAATAGCGCAAAAGCCTTTTCAACTAAATGTTAAAAGACGTTTCTATGGAAAGACAGGAAATATCTTTTATCCTCCTTGCCTTTTTCTTTGGAATGCACTAGTAAAAACAAATCTCTACGGGCCCCTGTAAAAAAAAATTTGCGCCTGTCTAAACATGCACAAGATATTCTGTCTTAGATTTTCTTTTCTCAAATACCTTGTAAGCTAAAACAAGTCTTAGACTAATAAATTCAGCTTTGTAGTTGCTGAACTATGTTCTCTCCCTGGTATGTGATGAAATGCTCTCCAAAAGGCTGCAGACATACAATATATTTCGGTGGAGAAAATGCTAAAATATTAGTCATACTTACAAAAACATCCTAAAGGAGAAATTGCAAATTGTTTTTTGAAATATTGATCTTAAGTATATCATAATAATCTGTTTTAGTTTTGTTTATGTTTGGGTTGCTTTGTGCTCTGAAACATTAGGCTGTTGTCTATTTTTGGAGTTATATTTTTAATCAGGGTGACAGTTTGCTATATGAGCCTGTTCAATCAGCACCAATGCTTTCTTCAGATAAGGTCTCAGTGTTGGCTTATCATTTTTCTTTGCTCTTTTTTCTTTTTTGCTCTTTTTCTTCTGTCAAACAAGCTGTAAATTAATCAAATGAATAGAGTAAAATACACACATTTCTGTGTAACATATTTTAGATGTAATCAATACATAAAAGTCAATTTATTTATAATAAATTAAACATGTTTACTTGTTTACATAATAAAGTTTCTAGTTAAAAAATGACAAAAAACAACAGTACTTTATTTTATTCCTATACTGTAACTAGCAAACAACAATGACTCACTGTGCAATCTGTTGGTCTCTAGACAGGGTTTCCTTTGGTTTCCTTATGCAGCTGTGAACCTGTAAGAATGGCCTGACAGAGAGCTTATCCTTATATACAGCTATCTGCAGGCATAAATACCACCCTCATGTTACTGCAACTTTACTTCCTGTATTCTACAGAAATTGAGTCACTGCAATCAAGGGAGAATAAGACTTCTGCAATAACCTTGTACTGTGGAATGACAAACAAACTTGAAAAGATTAGATTTTATATTTTCTTGAAAACCCTTGTTCAGTACAGATATTTCATCTTACCAAATAGTATTAACAAAATAAATGAAATAAGTTCCCAAGTGCTGTTGCCTTGCAGCAAGAAAGTTCTGGGGACAACCACTGGTCCAAGGTCTTGCAGTTTGGAATTTCTGTTTAACTTCCTCTAACTTGTTATCAGGCAGTTATCAAGCAGAGAACATGCAAACTGTTGGGATCTGGAGCTGTACCACCTTCCTCCAGCAGAGTTCGCCGTGGGTCCTCCTGAGCTGAGCTCCCAACACACCTGTGGCCCATCTCATCATCAGAGGATCCACCACTATATAACCTGCCTTCAGACCTTGCCTCAACGCCGCAGTGTTGATCTAGTTTGGTTAGCACCTGAGCCTAGTAAACCTGAGAATCTTTGCTATCTCTGGTTGAGAAAGGATTCTAACTCTTCCTTGTTTTTGCCTCACAGGAATCCTGTCTCTTCGTGAAGCTCTGGATGAGCTTAACCTGCCGAACCTATCCTCATGAGCCAAACCTGAAGACACTTCTCTGGATTCCCCCGCAGCTCTTGGTTAAGAGCTGGAAACCCAAATCAAGGTCTGCCCTCATAGTCAGAAGTAAGACGCTGAAGCAGTTATTGGACTCTGCTGAACAAACAGTCTCTGGATCCAACAGTAACCTCTCTCAAAGAGAAACCCGGACTCCTTCAAGGTATTCTTCAGCTAACTCAAGGTCTCATAAATCATCTGTCCCTGCGCTAACTGAACTATCATCTCTGCAGACTCCAGTGAACCTGCCCCCAGGCCTGAACCAGTTCCAGTTGAAATATTCATGTGCTTGTGTAACAATAAACCTTGTTAAACTTTTCATCAGCTTCCTTTTGTGTTCTGCATATTGGGCTTACTCAGTAACCAATCATGACACAAACTGCAAGTTTAACATGCCTGTGCATGCGTGGAGTCTCTTTCTCATTGTTCACTGTCATCCTCCTCTCTGCCACGGTGTGAGAGAGGAGGACGCTGTCCAGGCTTCAGTCCAGTGATTCAGACCCCCCCCCCCCCCCCCCCCCCCCCCCCCTGAAATTCACATTTATTCATTCCTTGTGCTGTTTTTGCTCAGAGTTATATGTGTATATATTTATATTATCTTGTGTGGTTTGTTGTGTATATATACATAAATGTATCTGGAGCGTGTAACAAAAGTAATTTCCCTCTGGGATTATTAAAGTATTTCTGATTCTGAAACTTTACCACATAGAATCCAGATTGCAAATGAAATGCGCATGTAAAAAGCTCCTGATAATCATTCTCTCATAAAATAATTGCATTTTCATTCTACTGGCTCATTCTCTCCCTTCGTCTCCTCCAGTCTCTGTGCATCTTTGCTATGCTGTCAGGGCTCAGAACAAAGGGACCCAGTATTCAAGGCAGACAGTCATATAATTCAAAAGCGTTTACTGTATTTTCATGACCATAAGGCGCACCGTACTAATAGGCGCAGTCTCAGTTATGTGTGCCATTTCTGTATTTAACACACACATAAGGTGCACCGGATTATAGGGCACGAGTTTTATATACCAGTACATGTCCTCTACTACCTTTAAATACCTCTACTGCGTATTTAAAAATAGAGCGGGAGCAAAACTGAGTATGATTGTGCTTTATTCATGTATTTATTACAAAGTATTAATCAAACCTGGGAGCTGGCCGTGAGAGCGCTGTGATCCCTCCTCTGAAACAGTTTATTGAAGCATAAATTAACTTAAAATGCAGAAATCTGCCGGCAGAATATGTTTGCTTTTATTATCCTGGTGCCTGCAGTTTAGATTATACCAGTTAGTTCTGACGCGCGGCTGAAGCAGCTTTGCTGCTCTGGCTGTGCGGTGTGATGGGCACGCATGGAGTCACAGATTAACAGCGATGGTGATGAGTTGAAAAAACCACCTAGTCTCCTTACATACACCTCTCTCAGCCACTCTTTCATCATCTCCTCAATGAGGAGATGAGGAGTTATGCATAAAGCACATACCTGTTCTTTTATACACAATCCACGCCCACACTTCCCCCTTTAAAGTTCTCATGGTGGTCTCAAACGTCCGCAGTAACAACACACATAGGGCACACCGCACTTTAGGGCGTGCCGCACATTTTGAGGGAAAAAAAAGACGTTTATATGCGCCTTATAGTCGCGAAAATACGGTAATTAAAAACGTCAGCAAGGCAGGAACTTCTGCAGAAAGGAAAACGGTCAATAACCTCATAAATCTGGCAGAGGAATATAATGAACTTGAGTTAATAACCCGGTTTAATAGTTCAGTCCAGGCCTAGAGAACGAGGTAGGATCCAGCTGGTCAGATGACAACAAGACCGGTGGATGCCCCTCATAGAGTCGTTTTTCAGACTCCCAGAGGACGGAGAACAAGCAGAAGATCAGAGGACAAACCCACAGCCGGGGTAGAGGACCTGCTCCAGATTCAGAACCAGGAGATCAGAAGCCCAAAGAGGTTCCAAAGGGAAATCCAGGTCATTGACAACAAGCAGTGCCGTGTTCAGCAAACAAGCCGAAT